ATCAAAATTTTCGAAATACTAGTGTTGAACAATTTACTTTGACAAGCCATAACATTTGCTACAATTGACCGTTTCACGCGCCATTAAAAACGTAGAAACCTAGGCCGTGAGCACTTGAAAATGATATTAAGAATTCATTATTTTGATCTCGTTTGATATCCCGTAATGACTTCTAAAATTGAGACAAAAAAAAAACAAATTAATGGTAGTAAAAAAAATTGCACAAAAGTTGAGAGATCACGTGACCCCATGCCACCCTTGTGTCCGCCCCTGATTCTCCAAAAACATTACCATTTCAAAATATATATTCCCAAAATCTCATTGTAATGGAGTCCAAACAAGGGCTAAAGATTGCTTTCAATCAACTATAAGTTAAATTGAGTAATAGTCTGAAGTAACTGAAATTACAGTGTTTTGTCTGGTATATAGGGCTTGTTCCAATTTTTTTTTAAAATACATTTTTTGTCTATTCTTTTCAATCACACGTTCTTTTATAAAATAATATTATGTGTAAATTCAAAAAAATTTCTAATTTTTTAACACGCATTCTCCATCAATATAATATTTCAAAATACATTTTTCACCTTTTAATAAAACTTAAATAGACTCATAATAAGCTCATGTTTGGTGGGAATTAAAATTAGATTTTTAGGTTTAATAGAAGTTGATGAAATGATTAATTGAAAAGTTGTGAATCCTATAAGATATGTAATTAAAATTAGTTATTTATTTTGACTGAAATTAAAATTCATTAAACATGACCAAATACCATTAATCTCGAATTTACTAATTTACCTTATTCTTTGTATTTTCAGGCAGGCAAATGAAGTGCAAAAATAATTTAGAGCATGTTTGAGCCCCATTTTTTAGGTAGAATGTATTTTGGAATAATAGATTGATGGAAAATATGTGGTTAAAATGGAGATTTTTTTGAATTGCGTGTACTATTATTTTTTTGAAAAATGTGTAGTTGAAAAGAAGAAAAAGAAAAATATATTAAAAAAAAAAGGAAAAATTGCAGCCGCAATCNTTTACCTCAACCTTCACTTTATGCCACTTCAGGTCCCAAACCTTTGAGAAATTTTCACTGGAGGTCCATCTGGACAAAAACCGTCCAAATCACCGTTAGTCAACCTAGAAAATTGAAAAATGAGATATTTTGACCATTTTAAGGAGAGGCATTTCCGTTCATGCAGTAATTTCTCTTTAAAAACAATAAATAAAAAGAAAAAAAATCATCATCTTCTTCAAACACCCCACTCCCACCCCACTCCCACCCTTCCCCAACACTAAAATCCTGCCACCCACGGCCAATGTTGCCGCCGTAGATGGTAATATCCATTCAGCGACAGAGATTAAATCCCTCAATTTCCTCTATGGTAAAATCGACTTGAATTCCCGTTTCTTGTTCTAAATTCGGACTCTGCAATAATGGGCTTTCACATTTGTGTCCATCCCTCTTATTTCCCTATAATAAACAAAACATTTCGCATTGTTCATTACATCATTCAATATTGACAAAAAAAGGTAAAGAATACTTGCCTTGGTTTGATCTTCATTTGTATTATTTTCTCTTTCCTTATCTCTTAATGATCGAAGTGGAGAAATTCTTTGTAATATAGACATTACCAAAAGAAACAAATTAAAATAGTTAACCCATTAAACCAGTTACTAATTCAAATTGGGATAATAATTCTTGATTCTCCTCAATATTAATGGGTTTTCATTAAAATTGAAAATAAAAATAAAAATATCTTGAGTTCCAGAAAACAAGAATCTTACCTTGCAAGATAATTTTATCTCTGTAATATAAATATTACCAAAAGAAACAAATTAAAATAGTTAACCTATGAAACCAGTTACTATTTCAAATTGGGATAATAATTCTTGATTCTCCTCAATATTAATGGGTTTTCATTAAATTTGAAAAAAAAAAAAAAAAAACTTGAGTTCCCAAAAAACAAGAATCTTACCTAGCAAGATAATTTAATCTCATTTAATCGAGACAATCTATCAACTTCAATTTCGAGATGATTCTGCACTTTCCCTCTTTGTACAAGCTCCTTTATTTTCATATCCAGTATCAAATCTCTTTCTTTCAGTATCTTCTCAGTCTTCTCCTTATCTATCTTCTGTCTATCCAGTTTTTCTCGTATGACATTTAGCTCCTCAGCCAACGAAGCATCAAAGGATTCGATTAAGAATTTAGAATCTGAAGGTTTTGAAATGAACCCAAATGGAAAATTTATTAAGAATTTAAAGAACT